GTATTCAACAGTGAAGACACTCATCATTCATACAGGAAATGATGAAGCTGTGAACCGACAGTCAGAAATCCTGAAGAAGGATTTCATTCAGCTGCTGAATGCAGTTAAAAATCTCAACATGGATGTATTGATCAGTGGGCCCATTCCTACAGCCAGAGGAGGGGCTGAGAGGTTCAGCAGACTGTTGCCTCTTAATGATTTTTTTTTGTTGGAAAAGTCCTGTGTTGACCACTCTGTGAGTTTTGTGGACAACTTTGATCTCTTCTGGGAACGAAAACATCTCTTCAGGTCTGATGGAATGACTTTGAACCGACATGGATCAGAGCTGTTAGCTTCAAACATGAAGTATTTCCTGAACCAAGTTCTGGCTGGAACTAAACAACAGGAGAGTGATCAGCTGACGTCTGAGGCTGAAGGACAACAGGTGCAAACTGAGACACTAATGGAAAACAACATGCAAGTGGCTGAACCAGAACCAGAACCACAGAGAGGGGAGTTACTTCAAGCTGCTGAACTGGAAGAACATCTGGATTCATCAACATCACAAACAGAGGAACCAGAAAATGGATTTCCCCAACCAACAACTGAAGAAAAACTGTCCACTTCTTCTCCACCTGAGGAACCCAAACCATCAACTGAGAATGAGAATGTAAAACCTACATCCAAGAAAAAATTATACAGGATCGGAGACCACTTTGAAGACCCTGTGAAACGAGAATAGGAGCGTTCAGATTATCGCACAAAGTTACAGGACCTTTGGATGAGGAATAAAAATAAATGGACAGAGAGGAAGAAACAAGAGTGGAAAGAAAGCATTTTAAGAGTCTTATCCCTGATGATGAATATTTTTATGTGTGGGAGGATTAAAAATTGAATTTCTGGGGTTGGGAAATGTTTAGAAATACCCTGATGTAACAACAGATGTTATAACTTCTCTTTTTAAAGTTTTCATAAAATTTCTTATAGTTTTGACATTTTTTATATATGTCAAGAGAGGGATTGAAGAAATTTTGTAACTGAGTAATTGAATATTAGATTCAGTTTTGTATTTTATACTTTCTGATCATTTCAGTCTGTAAGGTTGAAACAGACAAAGAGTTGGTGTATGTGTGTTATCATGTGTTCTTTCTTTTAGCCTAAACAAAACTGAGTGAYGTTCTGACGTAAAAGGTAACACCTCTGGGGTGTCAYCAGGAAGGGATGAACATTATAAGCTCAATTCATTATTATAGTAGAAAGAAGTTGTCAGTGTTTTGCAGAGTGTCTGCTCAGAGCAGARCTCCCGTGTTTGTTTTGGTTTGGCCCAAGGTTGTACGCTGAGGCCTGTGCTGCTGAGAGCTGAATGAASCTGATTGGAGTCAGAGGACTGAAATAAAGTTTTTAACAAGAAATACAGCTGAATCCTGTTTATTCGGWCATACCATATTAAAACACGTATTTTCTTACAATTTGGTGACCCCGACGTGATGGATGATCTTGAATAAGCAGAGAACATTGGAATTTATTTTTGGCTGTTGAAGAACCTGAGAAGATTTTTGAAACATCAACTGCTGAGAGTGAGTACAGAAAAGCTTCAAGATGCCTCCTTACTTTTCCAAAGAGGATTTCTGCCAGCTTCTCCAAAAGGTGACGGTGNTTAGAATTAGTTTTGGACATTTTTCTTATTTTAATTTTGAAATTTAGTTATAAGAACATCTGGAAACTAGAGCTCATCTACTTTTAGAGTTTTCCTCAGTATCAATATAATCATCACTGTTTATATCACACTGGTAACTGTATATTTTTGTGTGGTATAGTTCCTGGTGTGTAAGCGCAAGCTGGAGAGTAAGAAGGAGGCACTTCTCATCCTGTCCAAAGAGCTGGATACCTGTCAGCAGGAGAGAGACCAGTACAAGCTGATGGCCAACCAGCTGAGAGAGCGCCACCAGGGACTCAAGAAGAAGTACAGGGAACTTATAGTGAGTGGCTCAAATCTTYTCATTTCCAGAAAAATAAAAACATTTTAAGTAGCTAATATATTCTACACATTTCTTTAAGATCAGTGACATACAAAATAAAAAATTAAAATATGTGACTGAACACTGAGCCTTGTGGAACTCCACATTTAATCTCTTCTTGCTGTGATTCTTCACTATCAAACTGAACAAAACGTTGACCTTAACAGAACATAACAGAATGATAGCAGGCAAAAATAACTGAGCAGCCTTTTCTGTTCATACTGTATTTCCCAGAAATGTAAAGAGTAGTACCTAAAATAATATGTTCACACAGATTTTCAGTCTTTTAGGATTAGCAACGCATAAACTTACATTTAAAAGTATTATCAAGACAATAAATTTGTGACATTCTTTATGTTCCAGGATGGTGACCCCTCTTTGCCACCAGAAAAACGCAATCAAGTAAGTTGTTTATGTGTGTTTTTTATTACCATACTGCAGGGTAGTSAAACTCCTTTTCACCAAGGGCAACATTAGCATTAAGCTGGCCTTCAAAGGGCCAGTTGTAATTAACTTTGACRTTTCGTGTTTAACTTCAACTAAACATGGTGTAAGAAAATTCGTATTCAATAAACTGAAGTCGTTATTAAAAACACAATTGTTAAATAAAATGATTTGTAGGAGGAATTAAACCATACGACACCAGAATTCTGGATCTGAGTGAGGTTTAATGTCACTCAAGCTGACAGGAAACCAACACTACTGGCAGTGTTGCCAGGTGGGAAATGTTGAATTATCGTATCAGCAGCTCAAAATTATCGTATTTTGAGGAAAATTAT